CCGCCCGCCCTGGCCGGAGAGCCCGCTTGGGATCTCGGCCATTTTAAGTCATTTCCTCCTTTTCATTCAATCGCATCCTTTCTCCAAGCCCGCACGGTTATATCATTGGTACGTGTCTCTGCCTGCTTTCTCTTTGCTTAAGAGAAATATCATTTCATGCCCCCTTAGGGGACGAGGCTCCCCAGACAGTTGCCGACGCAGGGCTACTCCTGCCTTGGGAAGCCGGGGTGTGTTTTGTTTTGTTTTTCAATTATGTGTGTTTTAATGCCGAATTTTAGATTTGCAGCTTAATTAGGAATTTTCCCCGTTTATTTCTGGGCTACCGATGGACTCTTTCTCCTTCCTTTTGCTGTTGAGTGTTACTAAAGGAAGATCAGGGCAGGAGGAAGCGGCGTGTCGGGAGGGGGGGCAGAGTTATAATAAACATTTTCTTTGCTTAAGACATAAATTCAGAGGTTCCCGGGCTGCTCTTTAGTCATTTTATATGGGCCCAGCGCGGTGCTCTCAAACCTCTGCGAGGTGGCCCGTGCTTCAGGATAAAGCGGGTTTCTCTCTCTTTTAACTGCAGGAGAACCCCCAGGCCACCAAAAAGGAGGAAGCCGAAGGCGCCGATGGTCACTGTGCCCAGCGGCCCGAGAGCTGCCCGAGCCCTGAGCGCAAGAGCAAGGAGGTTTCCCTCGACGGCTCGCAGTTCGCCCCCTCGCCTGCCTCGCAGGAGGACCTCGAGTCCGACGTCTCCGACGACTCTGACCAAGAAGTGGACATTGAAGGTGACAAAGGCTATTACAACCCTGCCCACTAATGGCCCCACGCTGGAGAGTGGACCCTAACTCGGCTTGCACTTTACCAGGGGCTGGCTTTAGAGAATATTTTGTTACAGGAGAAAACTTTCACCGTTCCCCTGAAAAAAAAAAAAAAACAGACAGACTCTTTTTATAATAAGCAGAGAGAGATTTATTTTTCACAAACAGTCCATTTTTGGCAGATCTCTAATTTGGTTAAAGGAACAGATCCGTGGTTTGTATTTAATTTGTAAGATATATTTGTACATTAATTAACGTTCTGACTGGAATATAATACTGCATCCTGCCCGTACTCACTGGGGGTCTGAATCAGCTGCTGTTGGTGGTCAGGCAAAACTCCCTTCTATCTCGTGTGGAAGTGAGTACGGTTGGCAGGACTAAGCCCTTTGTATGTGTATACAAATGTAGTTTAAATAAATTAATTTAAACGCCCTTCCCAAGCAGAGAAATATGTTCCATGAAATACAGAGGCATTTGACCGTCACAGCAAGTGCTTTATGCTCATATCTTTTGCCTCCGGTGGTGCTCCCTGCCGAGACATCCCTCTGTTTTATCGGGCAGAGTCTTTGGACGCACTCATTTTTGCTCTCGCGTGGGATGAAATGCCCACATCCCCTGGTACTTCCTCAGATATTGGAAGACTCTCCCCTGCAATCTGGATGGTTCCATTTACAGAAAAAAAAAAAGAGACATATTTGTCTCCTTGAAAATCTCTAGGGCTGGTTTTGCCAGATTTCGCATTTGAGGAAAAAAATGCGAGGAGCGATAGGGCCCTGCTGCAAGAGGGCAATGGGCATCAGCAGCCGGGAGATAACGCCTCTGGTGTAGCTATCTGCCTCTGTACGTACCGGTGCGCTCTGAAAGCCTTGCAGCTGAGTACCTCACGCCGTCCGTGTGCGTTCAGTGTTAAGAAAACCGCCGAAGCAAAAACCGGTATTTAATTTTCGATGGATGGTCCGTTATCTGCCTCTGTACGTACCGGTGCGCTCTGAAAGCCTTGCAGCTGAGTACCTCACGCCGTCCGTGTGCGTTCAGTGTTAAGAAAACCGCCGAAGCAAAAACCGGTATTTAATTTTCGATGGATGGTCCGTGAAATAAAGCCGAAGCAAGGACCCGCGCGGTCCCGCGGGGGGAGCCCCGAGCCCCCCC